CTGTCAACAGGCGGCGGCGGCTTGTTTTCCCAGTCGGATTCCGCCGGATCAGGCACGTGGAAGGGGGAGGAGGCCGGAGCCGGGGTGCGCGGGGCAGGCTGCTGGCTGTGGGGCGCCTGAGAGCACGGGCACGACAATGGCAGTTGGGTGGGTTTTTTTGAACATATGGGAGTTGGTTATTTGCTTCTTACGAAAGGAGTCTTTTGCAAACAAGAAGTCTAACGGCGTCTAGTCTGAACCGTTGCGCCACATCAGCTTTTGCGGGCTCCACCTGTCATAATCGGAGTTAAAATGAGCAAATCGGGTTACTAGTGTTTTCTGCAAAAAATTAGCCTCGGAATTAGTTGTTTTTGGCACAATTACGTAGAAGTGTGGTTACTGCAACCCTAGCCTTCAATGTCGATGTTTTCTGCAATTCACTCCACGCGAGCGGAATCACGGATGGAACACATGTTCTGTTGGAGGCACTCACCGGCTATGTGGTTTTCCAAATGCGTGCATGGTGCATTTTCGTGGGTGTTGCTTTTGCGCGTTGGCAAGCGAGATGGTCGAGCTACTCACCTTGAGACTATTTATTTTGCAGGAGTACGTAACACGTAGACGTAGGGCTCCTCCCTTTTCCGAATGGAGCTAGCTCAGCTGCACAGTGAAAAATCAAGGAAGGAAGGTAGATGCAGCTCATGATGGTGAATTCTGGATCGGTTTCTTCACATCGGAGGAAGCTAGCTAGCACATGGCCCCAACCAACCCAGGCACGCATCGTGTTGTGTTGAGCTCCACTCTACATTTGTGTACATCCAATTGCAATTGCAAACAAGGTGAGCAGGGCCAAAGATGGTATGCGCGCAACTTCGCCGTGCTTTCCTCTCACCATCGTCGATCGTCATCCCTCCCTACGCGTCTATATCGCCGGCTCCCACAGTGCGATCCCGTCAGTCGAGAGAAGAGGAAGAGGGACGAAGATGCTTCCAGGTGCTGGTGGAGCGGCAGGTGGCGGCGGCGCGCTGGGGCACATCCGCGCGGCGGCCGGGGCCAACTTCTTCCTCGGCTTGGCGTTGGCCGCAATGGCGCTCGTCGTCGCCACTCGCCACCAGCTACCACCCCAGCGACCTCCACGTCCACGCCCAGGTACCAACTGAACTCCGCCATCTCCCTTGGCCGGCACCGATCTCGTACTAATTTACTCGGCACGCACTATGCTGTCGCAGATCGGTCACGCGGCGGCGCCGGCCGCGTACGCCGGGGAAACCCAGCAGCAGCACTGCGCGGCCACGGAGGCGGAGGCGCTGGACCTGCGCAAGACGGCGCTGATGCTGGTGCT